CTCCTTTTGATTTTAAACATTTTGATTTAGATTTTATTGGAGTATATGTAGATGGACAGCCTGTCCCCCATAATCCATTGGAACTCAACTTTTCACAAAATCAATACATTCGTGCCTATCAAACTTTATTTGATGGAACGGAACGAATGGGTCAAGATAGAGGAATATTTATTTCCAGAGAAGACTACAGGAACGGAAATACGTTATTTGGATTTAATCTCTCCCCAAATCTATGTTCAGGAGAACATTTAAATCTGATTAAGCATAGCAATTTGAGATTAGAACTGAAATTTGCCAAATCACTGAAAAAAACAGTATGCGTTATCGTTTTTGCCGAATTTGAAAATTTGATTGAAATTAACAAGTCAAGAAATATTTTATTCGACTTCGGAAATTGAAGAATGGATGGATTGCAACTATTCAACATTTTATCGCAAGATAAGATAACAACACCTTACTTTCAAGGCGTATATTCAAGAGATACGCTTCCGAGTCTCCGAGAAAACACATGTGCTATCACGAATTCAGATGACTCATCACAACCTGGAACTCACTGGCTAGCGTTATTTGTGAATGATCAAAGACAGTTAGAGTTTTATGACTCATATGGGAAGCCTCCAGGATATTACAACGTGAATACCGCTTCCTACACGGACGTACTATGGAATTCCAAAGTGTTTCAATCGCCTACATCCAATGTATGTGGACAATATTGTATTTACTTTTTACTCAAACGTTGTCAAGGCTATTCTATGTATCATATTTCAAATCAATTATATGTAAACGATTTTCAGATGTATCAATTTGTAAAGAAAAAATATGGTGTAATATTTGTGTTTAGAAAATAAAAAAGGAATGAAACTAAATCTAGTGTCTCTCATGTCATTATTATAAAATTTTACATTTAAATATTGTTATGTAGGCAATAGTGTAACATTTTTAATTCTTTTTAACAAAATTTTCAGAAAATATTTTTATTATTGAGGAAAACTTTCTATCTTTTATGAAAATATTTATGTTTTTAGCAAAAAATTTTCTCTTTTAAGATAATATTTTTTTGTTTTTGTAAAAATATTTCAAACGTTTTCACAAAATTTTTCTATCTTTTAAGAAAATATTATGTTTTGACACAAAAATTTTCTATTTTAATAAAATATTTTTACTTTTTGTTAAAAATTTGCTAGTTATTATATTAACTATTGTATCTTTCTAATATTAGAAGTTGTTCAGGATAATGTTAGATTTTACCGATTTTCTAATGTTATCTAATATTAGGTGCTACTTGGGAACAGTTGATAACGTTTTTCAAGTTGTATCGTTCGCGAACTAGCACTAATATTATCTTACGTTTTCCGGCATAAAATTACATTGCTAAAAATGATATTTTTAGTAATATTTAATTTATTGTTTTCTTTCATAAATAAATGTTTATTTATTTAAAATATGAGATAGCCTTTCAGAAAAAAGTAGCGATGGAGCAAAAATAATGAAATAGATGATAATTTTAAAAGTTCGAATGTTAGATTGAATACTATTTATGTTATGTAATATTAGCTCTAATATTAGAAGATAGGATTCAGAAGTCTAGCGTTTTCTAGCAGGGTAGTATTATATTGCGTCTTTCTAATGTTAGATACTAATATCATTTTGCTACCTTGGTAATGTTGCTCGCCTCCACGACTTTGGCTCACAGGTGCCCACGCATATAAACTCTCTTTACATCAATAGTATCTCCAAGAGATTTTGTGATCCCGCTGATTAAATTTCTCGTCAACGTCTTCTGTGACGTATGGCAATTTCATTCTGCCATGCTTGTTATTTTCAACATTGAGCGATTTCTGTACTCCAGCTTTTGTTTTTCAAACTTTTTCCTCCTGAGAAACTGTCTTCTTCATTTAAAAATGAAATAGAAAATAATTTATCTAATATTATTACCCTTGGAAGCGATATTCTATAAATTTAGAAGATTGCAACAAGTGGATAAAGGAATTTGGGGAACTTACAAGTACGAAATGGAATTCTAGAACTTTGAAACCTCAGGGAGAAAGATTTGTTTGTTGATAAGTAACTATTGTTTAGTTATTGTTTAACTAGTTAGTTTAACTATATTTTAAGAAAAAATTTGTATTTAATTTTATATA